AAACACAGTACATGCTGCTTAATTTTCTCCGGAGACACTGATCAGTAGAGAACGTGAAATAGGGTTTAATGAGTCAGTGCCGTTCTGCCATTTCATTAAATCACAACCTGTATGTTGTACAAACGCACATAACCCTCATCTCCCGTAATCGAAGCAAAAACGAGTGAAAGCCTCTAGTTGAGAAAGAACATGTTTCAACCTTGCCCTCTCCTCACCTGCCTACTTTTCAATGTCAAGTGGAATCCTAGGAAACCAAAAAATGAGTTTTTTTTCGATTCCAGACGAACGTCGTCTGTCGCAAATTTTGAAGAGGACAACGCCGCCACCGCCAAAAAGAGATGAATATAACGGAGAACAAAGCGTCGGAAGAGTTTCGTGGAGTTTTTCTTCTTTCTTCCTATTCGATATATTAGTCATGATGACAAACAATAAAAAATTTCGTATTACTTTTTAGCGCCGGTGTCGGCTTTGATTTCATTTGTTTATCAAGTACACAGAAGTTCCTTGTTTGAAATTAGAGATACTATATCGATTACACTAGGCGAGTAGCTACAAATAAGTTGAGGGTACTTGTTAGAATTCATATTTCATTAAAAATGATTACTGTAGTTTCCAGGTTAGTACATCAACTTGAATGGTCTGACAAGTACCTATATGTTCATTTTGGAGTGATAGAATTTTTTAAACTTTTGTTCAAATTGTCGTATGTTTAGATTCAGAAGCGTGCTCATGGAATAACTTGAAAACTGCATTATGATTATTGGAAGAATTTAAATTTAGATAAATTTCAAAACAGAGGATAAGGTGATAGATAAACAAGTATTATATGTGAGAATTAATCATTTTCTCAGAAATCAATTTCAAGAATCAACGTTCACAAACTTGGAAAAATGATAAAATTCTTTGAAACTTACTAGTTTCTGAACTGACGAAAAATCTCACAGCAGAGCAACATTTGAAATCTGAACAACGAGGAAGAATCAATTGATTTTGATAAAGCTAATAGCTATCATCAAAGAATAAACTATTAGCCAGACTATTAGCCAGTCTATAAATAAAAAGTTCAAAATAATATGATTATAGGCTCATGTCTACAAATACTATTATTTAAACACGAAAAGAACCAGTTTTCCCGAATACAGTATTCTGATCATATCACTCTTGTCGATCAACTCAATCTAATCACTAGGAATATACAAAAACAAGTGAGAAGTGAGAAGAAAATGTTAAATGAAAGTTTGATAGCATCAGAAAATTGAAAAGGAGACAGTGTAGGAAATGAGATGGGTCCACACATTATGAACAACATTTCGAAAACTGGTTTTTTTTTGGGAATTTGCATGTGCACTTCTAGTCATTGTGTCTCTTATTTTCCACCACCTTGTATGGCAACCTCTTCACAACTTTTTTTGACGTATTCTTCATTGCAATGCGTTCACTTCTTCTACAGGTCGCTGTCAGTTTATCAATCACGTACAAAATGCCGCGCCGATTCCTCTACTGATGCGGATTCTAATTTTTGCTTAACCAAATTTGTTGTGTCTGTGTGTGGAGATCGACATGAAAAAAAAGAGTCAATCTAATGATGAAAACTAATCAGTTCTCCTAACTTCTAATCACCGCGACGATGAATTTTTTATTTGAGAGTATATGGAAACAGAGAGAAGAAGGAAATCGTGTTTCCATCGGGGGCCTAAAGAGTACCGAAATGAAAAAAAAGAAAATGAGAAGAGTAAACATTCAAGTGCATAGTCTGTCGGCTTGCAGCTGTCACAGGGCTTTTCGACATGAATATTTTTATAGGGCAATCAAGAAAAATTGTTGAAATGAAGAGGAGGAGGTCAATTCAAGAAGAGGTGGTTTTCAAGAGGGACAACATTGCTGGTACAACGCCAGCCGCTTGAGACAAAAAAAAGGTGACCAACTTAATGAGATGAAAATCAGTCACATCGTCATACGAAAATGAAAAAATGCAATCTCCTATCTCTCTCTCTCTCTCTCTCTCGTGGTTTTCCGATAGATAGGAAACAGTTTATTTGGTTTTGTCTTGGGATCTAGCGTACTGTCTCACACGCAGGTTGATATAATTATCTTGGACAGGATGCACTTTTAGATAGAGCGAAGAATAGGAAAGATAAACACAGAGATCGATAGAAAGCTAAAAATTGAGAAAACATCATAAACAATTTTGAGGAAGACTCAAATCGAATTATTTTTGAATTTTAGCTTGATTAATTATACTGTAAATAGTGGTCATATGTATAATTTTTGAAATTCTGAAAAAAAACTAGGGAGAATAAAACTTTAAAAATATATATTCGAGAACGTTGTTTCCTGTTTTTGTCGGGACATATACAGTTCCTGACATTGAGGTAATTGTATTGTAACTTCACGCGTGTCTGTCTTCTCACTCCATATTCAGAGTGATGCCTTTAACCATTACCTCTGCCATATTATCGGTTCCCGTTTTGAAAATATGCCTCTAGAAGGAGTAGAGTGGTTGTATCTATCGGACATTGTCTTTTTTGAATAGTCAGTAATTCGATTTTTCACCACCCAACCCTTTACCCGATCACGTCGTCTTTTCTGGTACCGTTTTATAGTGAGAGTATATGCAAGCGTGAATTGCTGACCTTGAATTTACTCTTTTTTTTCCGCAAGTTTCGCACTTTTCGGCGTTTCTCGCGCCCTCTCTATCTCTTCGTTTTCTTGCCCGATTCATTCTCTAAAGAGTAAATTACCATCAACCAAGAGGAATTAATTACAAAACGCATATTTCTTTATTGCTAGTAACATGGGGCTTTGTTTGGTTACAGTTGTCCGCCTCAAAAAAAAAACAGACCAAATGTAGTTGTAAAAAAATTTGAAGAATAAGAAGACGGGATGAATAAAAAAATACTAAATGACGGGGATCTTCTTCCGATCACGCAAGTGCGACCAAGAGGAAGAAAACAAGTGAGAAGAAGATGGGGGGACGAGAAATTTATGTAAAAGTACGAGAATTGGATGGCATCGAGGGTCAAATTAAGCATTGGTTCCTAAACTGGTCAGTGTGAAACAAGACCGAACTGAAGTGAAATTATTGTTTTTCGCTTTTGCTTGTATTCTTTTATTCTTTTATAGTATGCAATAGAAAAAGAAGAAGTGGTTACTTATAAGATGGTATGAATTTTGAAAAGAGGGACAGGTTGATGAATAATTGTTGAAACTACAGTGCGGTCAATATCTTTAAAACCCTCCGGATTTTTCGATGTTCCAGTGATAACTTGCATGAAAATATTTTTCAGAAGAACCAAATATCAATTCTAAAACTATTTTTACTTGATTTTAAATCAAACAACAACGGTTTCTGGAAGTTTCCCGATCAGAAATTGGGTTCTGGAAAAATTGATTTTCCGTAAAATCAAGTTTAAGCTTTCTAGATAGAGTTTCAGTCTAAAAAAAATTTGCTTGAACTTTTTAGAACAAACTAATTGATTCCGTGAACAATTGATTGTCCAAAAAATCATTCAAATTAGATGAAGTTAAAAGTCGAAACGTATTTTTTTGGACCGTTTTGTACAAGGTACTGCATTGCAAAATCTATAAAAGTTTTCAGAGCAACAGAACCTATTACGACTGTTTCTATAAAACGCTTTTTGAGAATCAAAAATTATATGGACCAAAACTACTCTTCAAGAACAAATGGAAAAAAAAGCCAGAAATGATCGGGATTCATATTTAATTTCACTCTGTTCCAGAATTCGAAATTTCAGAACGAATCTATTTTGATCTCCCCCTCAAACCGATTTTCAAAAGAGATGGAATTTCAAGTTTGCAATTTTAAAGTTCTGAAACAATAAACGGAACCGGAATTCTATAATTTCATGAATTTGTTAATTAAGCCGAAGTTGAGAAACGTTATAATTTTGTTAGACAGTTAAATTGAGATTTAGTGAAATCGCAATATTATTTCAAAAAAAAATCTCCAAAAAAGTCATAGATGAATTATTAAAGGTGGGGGGACAGGAGATTTTTCGTAGTTTTTTTGTAGCTAGAGTATGCATTCTACCGTCACGGTGTACATTGCCTAATGTCACTCTGCGTACAGCTGTCGTCCTCGCCTTTATGTATGCAATCGAGCGTCCGCTTTCTCTTTGCCCGCGTGGCTCAGTCGGTAGCGGCGCCGCACCCTCAATCCTCGCCTTCACAAGTTCAACTCCTCGAGGGGCATCTTTGAACGGAATTTCGAGAACATTATTTTTTTCATGTCCCCCCACCTTTAAAGTTTACGTAACCATGAAATAATTCATACTCAATTATTCCACCAACAAAAAATCCTCTCGAGGAGAAATTGAAATTTTATTTCACAGTACCAGAGAAGTGTGAAATTGAAGTGTACATGAATGGCAAAAGAAGATGCCTTCCCTTTGGTTTGAATGAACAGGTTATGCCCAACTACATCTTGAGACGAGACTGGCGATTGAAAGGCCATAGGGTTTAGACAATATACAGTTCACTTTTCAAAGGTGGTTAGGTTTATTGGAGAAACTAAGCAATATAGCGAGACAGTTTATGAATTTCGGAAAACGTTGTATATGAATTGTATGAGTGGAAATAGGGTGAAGCGGATTGGTGACAGGAATAAAGTGAGATTTTTTGAAAAATATATAAAATTGAGATTCAAAAAAATAGATGAGGTATTTCGGGTCATAGAAACAAAGACGGAAATATTTTGCTGTACTTAGAATATGTTCAATATCAAGTTAAGAGATCTTTTAGAATGGTTGAGACAATTGAGATGCGGGTGAGGGAACTTCGAAGGAATTAAAAAAAAAAGGAAAATACCAAATATAAATTATCTAGACAAAAATGATGCTTATATGGTGAATATTGAGCTGATTATGATAAAAGCGAAGCAAAGTTTCCATTGGAAACAATAACTGCAAAGTAGCCGAAAAAGCGATAATGTAGAAAATGATTGGGGCTTAAATATTACTGTTTCAGATTAAATATCATCATCAAAATTCCATCGCAGTGATAATGGAGCAGGATTCTGGAATGGCATCTTCGACACTGAAAGCAAGAAGAAATGAGAAAATGTTTAAATTATTGCAATATTGTTTTTTTAATAACTTCATTAAGTTGAAACCAATTTGCGACACCTCAAGAGACCTCTATTTTTCAAAAGCTTTAATCTTCTATACCTAGTAGTGACAGAAGTTGGATACATCATATCACTACTGCTGTCAGACTTTTGTCCTGGACTCGATGGTCCCACAGAAGATCTCTGGCTGTCTTCATTGTCTCCGTCGGACTTCTGATGCCACTTCTTTTGACGAGCTCGCGAATTCTGGAACCAAACTTGGGTCACACGTTTGCTAAGCCCAGTCATGTTGGCAATTTTCTCCAAGTCTGCACCATCAGGATTACTGTCCCTATTGAAATAGGTCTGAAATTTCCAAAAATATTTGTGACCGGGTTTCAAAATCAGACCTGTAGAACGGATAACTGATCATCAGCAAACGTGGTCCTAACTCGTTTCGTTTTTGCCTTCTGACTTGAAACGCCACTGTCTCCTTCAACGAGCTCCAAGTAATGCTGTTTACAAAGAAGATGCTCCTCTTGAAGTGAATACTCTTCTCCGGTACTCAGTTGTCTGCAAATATTTTAACTTTACGATACCTGGATCTTTTTGAATGTTACCTTTTGCATTGGTTACAGGCAAAACAAGCCAGATGATAAACAAAATTCCTTGCTCTTCTTACCCAATCCGCAGCCCCGATTTTTCGGCCACAAGAAGCGCAGTCAGGACCGGCGTGGTTTCTGAAATTTCTTTGATACCATGTTTTCTTCAAAATAGAAGCGTGGAAACCAATATAAGTGGCTAAATTGTACAGTATATACGACACCGCGCAACATGTCGCCTCTCATGGACCGCTGGGATCAGCCATCTGTCACTACCGGAAGATATAGTGCGCGGAAGGTCCATCAAACAAGGCACTTGAATTTGTATAGAGATAATCGAATGCCAATTGTTTTTCTTTCTCTCCAAATGTTTTTGTCGGTAACCAATGTACCGACCCAGAAGATTTTTTGAGTTTTGAGCAAGTTTCAACTTTTGAAAAAAGGCAAAGTTCTTGTTCTTCTGACCAGATATCGGAAATTTAGCTTTTTCTCGCTCCTAGAAAAGACAATTCGGTCAGTAGAATCTTTTTTCTCGGATTTCCTTTTTCTTTTCTTTTTGCTGCTGTGGAGAACACGAATAGACACATACATACACACAAACGTTTGCTTAAACGGATTCGCGTTAGATTTATTCGGTTTAGGATGTGCTGGAGCACAAAGCATATAAAGAATAACTTGGTTAACGCACGCCCTCCCCGTGTTTCATTCTGAACTATCGATTTGTGTTGTCTTGGGAAATTTGAAATGTTTTTGTGGAAGGAAGATCCCTAGCACAAGAAGTTATGAAAAAACCTAGTTTTCCGGAAGGGAAAAATTCCCTCAAACTGGCAGTGATTCAATTTAACCTATTTTGCTAGTTGTCGATGACACCAGAAAAGAGAGGAAAGAAGAAGGAGAGAATAACCACATAACCCCATGCAAATCAGATAATATATGGGTGGATGAGGCCAACGAACGAGATTACTGTAGATTACATAACCGCAAGGTTGTAGTTGACAGCTGCGTGAGGGTAACGATGTTCGCGCGTAAACTGTCCCTCTCCTCATTAACCACTTCCTTTACACATGTTATTTTAGGATTGGTTATGTAATAATGAGGATAATATTATTTTCTAGTAGTCCCTTTTCCCAATGGTTTTCTTGTTCGATCGCTTCGTAGTCGCTTTTTCCCTACCCAAAAAATGATGCGTCCTGCTAAATTCTCCCCATCTATTATTCTTTTTTTCTCTTTTTAAATGAGGCTCACGCTGAGTAACTTTTGTTTTCCCCTTGTCCCTGGAGGTTGGCCTAATTATCAATTAAAATACTAACCGAAAATAACATTCTTTACAGTAAAACTCCGAGTCCTTATAGAAACATTTGTTCGAAAGTCGGCATTTACACTCCGTACACTGCAGACAGCTTTCATGCCAAGACCTGAAAAAGGAAAAATATACCGTAGTCCATTATTTTTGAAAATTCCGATTACCTTCCATCGACGCTCAGGTAGAATTTATCTTGAATGGGTTGTTGGCATTGAGCGCATATGACGACGACAGATTCTTGCTGAATAACAAAAACTACGGTAGGTTTATCAATGGAGACTATGGATTGTATCATTCAATTAGGATCCTATTCAGTGGCCGGGCTTCCGGTGAGCAATGGTTTTGTGCTAGCTTTTTCAATTCGGAATTTGAGTTGGGATGTTTGTATACATCACTATAAAATTTCGGGAAAACACGAGAAAGACTATGTTGAGTGAAAATCGGAAAAGACAAAATATTGGAAAGTAAAGAAGATCTTATACCTTAAAAACACCTAGAAACATTTTAAAAACAATTTATAATCTGCTCTAAGACGTGAAATCAAAATTTTGGGGAATATGAGGAACTGAACATGTATTTGTAACTTCTCAAAAAGTGAGAATAACTTTTAAAGTGAGTTTAAAAGCTTAACTTAGTGTAAAATTATGAATTTTGTATATTAGTGAAGTGTATTTTTACTGAAGTTAACTTTTTTCTAATTATTGTAGCAGTATTCAAATAAAAATACAGTTGTAGTTTTGATATCACCCGAACCCCTGAAACATTAATTCACAAAATATTAGGATTTCTATGCGGGAAAATACTAACCTGAAGATTAAGCAAACCGAAAAAGTGTTCCAAATATAGTTCAGAACACATTTTAAGACTGACAAAAAACCGTTGGGAATAGAATACATTTTGAGCATGTAAAGCAAGATAAAGTTTTGCACTTTTCAAAAGGACATTTAAAGTTTTAAAAAATGTTTTATTCAAATCCTACCTTTATCTGAATATTATCATCAGTACTGAATGCATGTTCCGCAGGTACTTCTGATCCTAGCCGCAATATACTGGACACATAAATCGAGGCTTCTTCAGACGGAGAGTATTCTCCATTTCCGTGTATCGCGCCATCCAATCTCAAGTAATCACATCCGTCGTCGGATGTTGCGAGTGAACCACCGCTCGACAAAAATTCACCAATGAAGGGGAACGTGAGTGAATGCTCGGACGGCGCTGTCGTCCGCGGCGGTGCCTGAGCATGATGAACCTCCATGGTGCAACTTGTGACAGCTGCTTTTGCTAACGAACTGCTGGAGAAGAAGAGGGGTTCAAGGAAGGGATAGATAACAAGACAACAAGGAACACTAACGAGTAGAAGAGCACCGATGCTAGTGGCTTTCCTTCTAGTCTCCGTTGTTCTGTCCGAGAAAGACCCTACTGGAAGACGGCTTTTCTTTGGACTCCGCCCACTGGTGCTTTCTATTGGGTGGCTGGGGCGGATTTAGGCGACAGCTTGGATAGGATGCTCCGGAAACAGGAAGGGGGGGAAGGAGACCTCAAAGTCCTAAACCACTGAAAAAAAAACTTGTCATTATCAAATTATCACTTTCAATAATTACGAGAAAATTCAGAAATGACAATAATTCAGCAACAACTGGGAGTTCAGTGTTTCAGAACTAAATCAGTCATTTCGATAATTAGGGTTGAGGTCTTCAACTTGAGGCTATCAACAATTACAACAATGATTTCTTGATTTTCTTTTTTGATTTTTATTTTAAAAAACAAACAGAAAATGTTCTATTAACCTGCCAAGGTCAATTCAAGAAGAAAGAGGTTTTTCGTAGAAATCAAAAAAATCGAATAGCTTCTTAGAGCAAGCATTTGATACCTATGCAAACGTGCGAAAGTGCGATAAAACTTTTGTTCGAAAGTTATAATAAAATTTTTCAGAGCAAAAAAGTCAAAGGTTTGAGCAGTATCCTTCGTCTCATATCTTTCTTATTCCCAATAGGGAAAAGTCATATCTGACCAGAATTCAGAAAAACTATCGGTGTGCAAAAAATGGTTGTCTTCTCAAAAATTATTCAAGAGTTACTTTGATGAATTTGAAAAAATGGATAATTTTTTAAACATTTTGAAATGTCATATACAAATTGTTTCAACAGTTTTTCAGTGATCTGTAAAAAGGCGTTACAAATCCATATGTGATAAAACTCAGTAATGCTTAAATTTTACGTAAAGAAATTTTTCATCGTTTTTTTTAATAGTTATCTGATAAAATCAATGAAATGACATACCGCAAAAACTCTACATAGTAGGAGTTGTACTCGCATTTTGAGCTTAGTTATCTTGTAAAAGATATAGAAACATTTTCAACTAAGAAAATGTCGTTGTTATCATGAAAACCATTTTATAATCTTAAAATTTTTTGATATCCTTTTAAGGAACCGAGATGATTGAGCTTGAAGTGCACGTACCGGTGGGCTCATATTAGAAAAAGTACGGTAATAATGTTGAAAGTTCAAAAACTCTATCGTCATCATAAAAAAAAAAGAATTTGGAATTGACCTTTGGGAAAGTCTAGATAAGCAATCCAAGTAATAGTATCATAATAACAGTGTGAGAATATTTAAAGTTAAACTACAGCTTTTCTGAAAAAGTAATAACTACAAAAATGGGCACATCTCCAACTAATTTCATGAGCTCATAAAATTTGCAAAACAAAAAATCCGTAGCAGGTGCTTGCAGAAAATCCTTCGGTTATGACTCCTTCTAATAACCTGCAATTAACTGTTGCTTGCTTCAATTCAAAATAAAAATCTTTATTTTTCAAGATGAGTTCAGTGAACAAAATTTGAAAAATGAAACAATAGCGATGTTGAATGTTTTCAAAACACTAAATGTCAATGAAATTTTCCAAACTCCGGATCTCGAGTAGTTTGCTTGTTGCCGATTCGCTACTCGTCTCATGCTAATGAGAGTCAATTCATGTCCCACCCCAATCTGCCATTTCCTCCATTTTCTAAGGATGCCGCTATGAATTTGTGTTGAATTGAGTCGGTAATACAGAGAGACCTACAATAACAATATTTTTCCTTCATACAGATCTAACAAGACTTATCGAATTAGTCAGATTTGCTTGTTTATGTGAGATAGAAGGACCATCTCGACTCTTGAAAAACACAACAGACGGTTACACACCTCCACCATTTGGCGCATTCCACTCGACACGTGTGCAGAGAATTGGTAAACTGAGGGTGCTTATTAATTTGGGCCAAAAAGTGGAAGATATGTTTTTGGAAATTAGGGAAAAAGTACCTATAATTTTTTAAAAACATTTTTTTGAATTTGAAGGTCAGCTTGTACTTCCTTATTTTGCCTGAAATTGGAATTGAAAGTGATTTTCATCTCAATCAATTTTGATTACCATGTTTTTCAACAATTATCATTTCCGAGTCAAAAGTCTCAGACCGTGGATGCTCTTCTCCAGTGTTTGTCGGGAAGGGACGTGTGCAACAGCTTCAATTGAATTATCTCGAGATCGATGTAAATCGTATTTCCCGCACGGATGCGGACGCACTCAAAACACGAAAATGCGCGAATTCAATTAGCGATTTGATGGTCCGGCAGAAACTCTTGAGCCAAAAGTTTTGGAAGAGTTTGCTTTCAGAGGGAGGATGGATTGGAATCAAATAGAAGAAACAGTACTGGGATCATTCATTTTATATTGAGGGGATTTTTTTTGACAAGGAAATTAACATATATAAATAAACTTTTGGGGGATATAATAAAATCAGTCTTATTTTGGAATGAATAGAAAGGATCTTTAAAAAAATACTATTGCTCTACAATAAAAAGTCATGTGTTAAACAAAATAATCTATCAGAAAAATTTGAGACGCTTAGGAGGGGCGGCAAGAATATTTGTATATTGAGGGATCGCCAGGTTACATTTAATCTAAGCACTACTAGAAAACTCAAACTAGGCATTCAAACAAAAAGTTTGGGAGATGAAGGGGCGAATAGAAATCAACAAGTGGAAATATAGCCGGGATTTCCGGGACACTTTTGAAAATACCTTTTTTCACAACAAAAAATAACTTACAAACATACTAGAGCTCTAAGGGTGCACTATAATTAACTATCTACAATTCTGGATATTTGAGAGAAAAGACACACAAAACTCGTGTTCTGTTAACATATGAAACAAACACTGTACAACAACAAAACTATAAAATAGAATTACTGGGATTGAAAAAAGGGAAGAAGCACTGAGAAATGGTATTGTTGAACTGATGAATTACATAATATTGGGAACTGATGAGATTGCCTATGAAGAAATGCTAATTTGACATTAAAGTTAATAATGCACTCGACAACTTCAAACTAAATGCAAAAACCTGGTATTAGTTTAATGTAGTGATTTCACAATAATCATTTAACATGGAAAACTAATAAATTATTACATAGTTGCAAATAAACTTAATAGAGACATTGCAAAACAAATTGAAAATGTAGCTGTGAAAAATATGATACTTGATGACAAATCAGGGAATCGGTCTAATCAACAATTAAATCTTGGTCATATTCGTGTGAGACGTTTTGATAGTCGTTTGGTTTGATTTCAATGTCGACACTTTCAAAACCCAATTCGCCTGGCGAAAATTGATCAACCAAGGATGCAAATTGGCTTGAGTAGGAATCAGTAAGCGAATTTGCGTATGAACTTGTTGGATTATACGCTTCACATCGTGGAGTGCTGAAAATAATCGTGGGTTTTTTGAATTTGCAAAAATGATAACTTACGTAAGTGGTGACGAATCCGTTCCTGGCGTTGGAAACCATTCATATACAGTGGGATCTCCAGATAATGAAAAACTGCAATGAGGTCCGTTTGGGGTGGTAGCACCATTGAAATTTGGGCTTATTGACTCTTCTTGAATTCCATACGATTCGTGAACTTGCTGTGGTGATTGGTAATCGTCCGATATAAACTCTTGGTTGCACTTGTTTCCATTCTTTACGGCATATCTCTTCTCATAACCGTCGGTTTCATGTCCTCCAGTTGATTCATCTGATATTTTCACATAGACTATCCGTGTATCGTCAGTTAACAGCGAATCCGCAAAAAGCTCCGGATTGTCTAGATCCGGTATGTATCCTGGACGTGTGTTATCCAAAATGGGATGATGTTTCTGTTGGAAGCTTTGCAACGACGACATTTTTGCAACTGGGACGTTGCGGGACGGGCAGAACTCGTTGGATCTTGACACCTGCATATGATTCGAGTCGAGACTTGGGAGGTCAGCAGAATTGGAATGAAGCGAACTGAAAAAGGTCCAGATAAGTGAATCGAAAAAGGCATCAATTGTCAGAATTTAAAAAAATCATAATTTAGAAAAACCAAAAAACTCACCTCGATGAATTGATTGCTCTTAACCTGTACGAATGCAGTGTTCCATTATTGTTGTATTCTGCGAGACTGTCACGTTCCAACCTCAAAAAATAAAAAGGTTGCTGTTTTGAGCGAAGTCTATGTATTAATCGTTATGAGAAGAGTTACAAGGATGTGATAACGAAACACAAGTTCAATTCCAATCCTTAACTGGAAAAAAAAATTAAAGAATAGATGCTAAACTCACAGCGTGCGAACATTTGGGGTAACTGCGGTTCTCCATTTGTTCAGAATTCCGACTTTCATTCCCACTGAGACTTCATCACCACTTAACACGTCTTGAATGTGTTTTTTGAACAGCCCGAGGACTTTGTCTTGTCCAGTCACAATGTGGTGCTTTACCCTGAACTCGGAAACAAATTTTGCCATTTTTTCGGCGGAATTTTTTTTCGGCGGAATTTTAATGAATTCTTCCAGCAATTGCTCACTCCACACCATCGACCAGTGATTTGTGATTTTTTTCTGTGCATCGTGATTTTGGTACAACCGCATCGTAGAACTATTTGCGTCGCGTTTGTTGAACATCATTGGGGCTGGTGTTTGGACAAATTCCGTAGTTGGCTGATAACCTTTTCCATTTATCGACGAGCTGAAAATATCGACTTTTCGTTGTTCAACACTTTGCAAAAGTTTCAGGGTTCATAATATGAGATAATCAAGCTAATTTTGGTTTTGTCAGAAATCTTCAACAAACAATGAAGAAAATTGTCTCGACTTTTCAAAAAAATTCTGCAATGAGGTGAGTCTGCCTCTGCAAGATAAAGATTTTTGGATTCCACAAGTATCTTTCCGTCAGTTTTAATTCCAATTAATATTTTTCAACAACTCAGTTTTATAATCTACCTTTCGTTTCACTTACCTCATATGAGTACGTGGCAAGTTCGAATTCCAAGTTAGATGTTGAGTGTTGGATGCTGTATATGAAATTAGTTGATTTTCGTGAACTGTCTGATTGCTCGAGAGTTGTTGAGGGGCAGCAATTTTCACATGATGCGTATTTTGTGTATTCAGAGGCTGATGGGGATGTTGTACTTTGATCGGTTTGTGATGCGACGATTCCAGAGGTAGACCAATTTTATGATTTTTGTACGATTCTTGTTGCATTGATGTCAGCATACGAGTCGAGTCGAAACTGAAATGAGGAAATTTCATCGTCGTTGTATATTCTTCGTAATTTAGGTACAACGAAGATTTTGATAGAAAACGAACACAACTTTCTCCCGAAATATAACACAAAAGAACAATGAAAAGAAAAAAGAGGGGACTCGGTAAAACTGTCTTTGCGCAATCCTCGGCCGCGGAGATCCGTCGTTGTGTCGTTGTGTCTGCGCGCTCTCGTATCTAATGCACTCTCCTCCCTAACCTAATTTGGCATGGTCCTCTTCGTTTAGTTGTTAGCAAGTATATTCGCATCTGATAATGACAAATGGGAAGAGAAAATATACCTATTAGTTAGTTGAAATGTGGTAAAAAAACTAATCAGTTCACCTTGCACCACTTATATATATTTTCTTTTATCAAAAACTCATCACCACCATCGTTCACCCGGTCAGCAGAAAAGTGTGTATAATTTCTAGCAGTTTTGTATGATGTGTCAATCAGGCTTCTAGAACAACTTATGAACAAATAGATAAGTATGACATACAAGCAAATTTCACAAAATCATAACCCTGACAAAACCGTTGGAGTGATGATTTGGTTTTTTGGTGTTGGAAACAATATAGAATACAAAAGGCAAGATATATAAAATAACGGAAGTAACGAAAAATTTAAAGTCACAGGAGACACGAATTTCAGCAGAAAATCGTTACGAGATAACAATGGAGAGTTTTGCACATAGAACGTACAGTTGAAGGATTAACTAAAGTCAGAATTAAAAAGAAACCTGGATTCAGGCGGAATAGTAACATGGTTTGGGGTTAGAGAGGGAATATGAATGTTAAGAGAGTTAAAAAGATTTGAAGAATTTTAAATGTCCTTGATTGTCCTGCAGGAAATTGGGCCTTTATGAAGATATGATAAACGTCTCAAGTACACGTCACGTTGTAGCCGGGAAAGTGGAGCACTGAAAAACATGCCTTTATTTCATCATCTATCTCTGATGAACTCACTTTTTCTGATAAATTAAGTGTGTCTATGTTCCTCGCGTCGAACAGGACCAGTCGAAGATTGAGTTTTGCTGTATTCGAATGATTTTTGTTGAACAGTCTCTGACGTTGTCGAGGTCGAATTAGTCATAAAGTCATTATGCGGCACAACTGTATGTTGGCTTGAAGATGATACATCCATTGGAATGAACCCGAGCTCTTGACTGAAAAATTCATATTTTTTAGAGTTCCTATATTTTTTTTCTTTCGAAAAATGTTCGAGTACCTGAGACAGTCCATTGTAAAACATTAAAATATTAGAATATGGTTAAAAGACAAAATGTTCATCACCATATCGAAAATATTTCGGAGATGAACAATTTTTAGTTATTTATCACAGACACTGAAATCAGTAATATTACGATAACTTAATAACCTTTTGAGTCCCTTTTCTATGGACTCTTGAAAATTAATGGAAACCTTCGAAACAAGCAAAAAGAACTCACGGCATCGAAGGGCAAGTGTTTGGAACGTAACTCTGAACTGACCCGGTGTTTGTATATAGTATATTGCCTAGGGATGCAAATCTAAAAGCAATAAATAAACATTTTCAAAGTTGGTGAGACATCAAATTTTGCTAAAACTGATTCATTAATCTCACTTTTCAGTAAGTTCCAAAGGCACTTTAATTTTATACTTGAGAAGCATTTTCAGCTTGCTCTCCAACTCCACAGTAGCATCTCGCAAGCGTTCATCGAATATATGTTTGAACTTTCTAACCAATCTCGAAATTGTTATCGCCAGGTTGTGCTCGGTTTTGAATTTCTCACAGAATTTTTTCAAACAACATGATTTTGAGGATCCGTCCGTTGCAAGTTTCATAAATTCGTTTATCATTTTTGTATCCCATGAGTTGTTCCATTCGTAGCTTTCTGAAGTGCTAACATTTCTCTGAATTGTGCTTCTATTGGCAGTCTTTGATGTTGTCGAGGTCGCATTGGTCATGAAGGCATTATGCGCCACAACTTTATGTTGGCTTGAAGATGATACATCCATTGGAATGAATCCGAGTTCTTGTCTGAAAAATGCATATTTTTTTGGGTTCCTATATTTTTTCGAGAAATTCCTTTTTTTTTGAAAGATGTTCGAGCACCTGAAGCAGTCCATTTTATAACAGTAAGCATCTAATAGAATTGCACTCTGACGTCAATTTTGTGACATTTTCTGGGTTTCGAGAAAGATATCAGAAAATAGTCAACTGACAAAATGTTAAATACGATATTGAACATGTTTCTCAGATGAAAAATGTTTTGATATGTTTCACAGAAACTGAGAACAAGGGACAATCAACATTTTTACAAAAGTTTGATAGCTTTATGAGACCCATTCTTTATAAAGATCCCCAAGACTTCATGGGATCCTTAGCATGAACGAAAAACAACTCACAGCATGGAAGGGCTAGTGCTTGGAAGATAACTCGTGATTGATCCGGTGTTGGAATATAGTATATTGCCTAGGGATGCAAATCTGAAAGCAATAAATAAACATTTTCAAAGTTGGTGAGACATCAAAAATTGCTAAAATGATTCGTCAAACTTACTGTTCAGTGAGCTCCAAAGGAACTTTCATTTTATACTCAAGAAGCATTTTCAGCTTGATTTCCAACTCCACATTAACATCTTTCAAACGTTCATCAAACAATGTGTTGAAGTTCTTCTTCAATCTGGAAACTGGTATCGCCAAGTTGTGCTCGGCTTTGAATTTTGCACAAAATTTGTTCACACTGAATAATTGTGAGGATCCGTTCATTACAAGTTTCATGAATTCGTCCATTATTTTTTCATCCCATGAGTTGCTCCATTCGTAGCCAACTGATCTGTTAGAAATTCTTCGACTTGGGGGCTTGTTATTTGACGCACTGAAAAAATTTTTCGGAAAAAGATTTGTGAAATGTTCAATTTTGAATGGGTTCGTCAATAAAATATTATAGCAACCACATTTAAAAAATAGGAGCCAGGAAAATGTATAGATTTTCAGTGCAAAATCAATAATTCTAATGTAAGTTGATGGTCACACAGCGCGTAATCATCGTGCCGCCTCAATGAATTTGATTATCATTCATAATTTTGAAAACAAATCACTTGTGGTACAAAGGTGAAACTGGGAATATAAAATAAATTCATGCTGAACTCACGCTTCCTCAAATTTCTTTGTCATGTTCATACGTTTTGTTGCTCTCTGCATTTCAATTTTCTCTTCTTCGGGCACATTGGGATCTGTCAGCCGTTTTAGGAACACTTGTTTGAAGCACGTCTTCACAGTGTTCAAAGAAACGTCAACCTTGTGATTCTTGAGAAATTCTTCAGCAATATGATTCAAGTCGAACTGTTTGGTTTCCCTGATGCATTTCAAAAACTCGTCCATGAGAAGATTGTCACAGTCACTGGACCATTGCAAAAAATGTTCTCGAGTTGATCCGGTAAAAGCCTTGTGAGATACTGTAGCTTCTTTAGAATTGATATTGTCAGAAGTTGGCAATTCATCTAGTTCTGTGGATGCATCCCATTCCTCTACGACGTTGTCATCTTCGTTATTTTTTTCGTGCCGCTTTTCAGAAGTGGATTGTATTTTAGTTGTCAGCTCCGGGATTTGTGTTGGAAAAAGTTTATTAAATGATGGATTAGCCAGATTATTCTGAGATTGAAGCTGCATATAGGCGTTTCCAGGTAAGAAGTGATCCTCATTTCGTGCAGTGTCAGACATAAATGACCGGAGCGGCTCTCGAAAGGATTCATTCTCGACCATTTCTTCACAAACCTTTGATTCCAGCCTTTTGTCAATCGCTTCTTGTTTCACTGTATTCTCAGGGATCGAGAATGAATACGAATCATCAACCAATACTTTTTCAATCCCAAGTTTCATAATTGGCGGCTGCGAGTATTGATAGTTTGGGTTTGTTTCGAAGTTACGATACATGTCCTGTAACATATGAAATAATTTCAAGAAAGTGTATAAAACAATACAAAAATTGCACCCCAAAAGACATCAAAAATTCAGAAGATAAAAACTATGAGCAACAAGGGTAATTTTCGTATATTCAAGTTGTCTTTGTGAAAAAAAAGTGTGGCTCGCTAGCAAAATTCTTAAAGATGCATTTAAAAGAGCACCTAAAATCCGCTCACTCTCAAATTTTCGGTCGCACGGGAATTGAGACTAAACCAATGTTATAGTCAAATCAGTAGAATTGTGTCATTTCTGTTTGTCCCTTCGTATCTGACCAATATTAATGTGTGTATTTATTGAATCAAAAGTAAAAATGTTTTCTACGTGTCCCTTTTTTCGAAAGTAGCTAAACGAGTGGGTAGTTTTAGGCCCTAAGAAGCGTTTCTAATAACATCAAACATACCATTCTGACATTGTCTTCCTGAGCATCTCTTTCATCCTCTGTAAGTTGCAAATGTTCCGAGATGGATTCTTGCTTGATTGTCTGCTCCGAAACTTGTGTAGGGAAAAATCCATTGAATGGCGGCATAACCATATTACTCAGAGTTTGATACTGCATACAGACGTTTCTAGTTGAGATGTGTTCTTCGGGTTGTGCAGTTTTGTACACCAGTGACTGAATCGGCTCTTGGAAGGATTCATTCTTGGCCATTCTATCACTAATCTTTGATTCCAATGTATCATCATTCGGTTCTTGTTTCACTCTATTTTCAGGAATCGAAAATGAATCAGTTGATTCCTGTTTGACCAAAAACTGTTGAATTGGGGATGGTACGTCTACATCGCTTGGTTCCGTTTTGATGGCACAATGCATTTCCTGTAATAAATAACCTATATAATTTCAAAAATTATTCAAAAAGAGAGAGCCTATTTCACACTTAGACCTAACAAGTTCAACAAATAGGAACAATAGAAAACGAGACATTTTTGCCTATAGTCAAATTGCAAAATTAATTAGATATTTTAGAGAGAGAAAGAGAAAATACATAAGAAACTCTCAATTAATGATAGTTACCAAAAAAAAAATCGTGAAGATTTTTAAAACTTGTCAGCTTTCAGCTATTGTTTTAGTTTTCGGTCGAATAAGTCGAATAGTGGTCAACTGACGAAATATTAGTCATCATATCAACTTTATTTTGCCTATTGAAAGTTCCTTGATATCTCTTACAGAAACGGAGAAAAAAAAACAGTCAAAGTTGACTTCCAGAGTGTCATTCTTTATAGATTCTACGGTTGGAAATTTTAACCTTAAAAAACCAAGACGACAAAAACATTCAAGCGCAGGAGATATTTGAGGGGGAAAAGTTGGGCATGAATTGTAACAGACGGTAGAGAAGAGGACCAATGAGAAATATTAGAGAAAGGGAGAGAGAGGGAGAAAGAGAAGGAGACGTGACTTCGCTTGTACCACATGTCTTTGGGTGTTGGTACCTATTGGCACGGATGTTTGTTGGTACGGGAACCCGAACTGACTGTCTATTGGTGAGCGTATATTTGTAAGCGTGCATTAGCATCTGTCTCTAAATCTGCCTGCTACAATCCCGAACGCAAATCAGTTCCTGACTTTGAAAAAATGAGAAAATGAGGGAGTGAACCGATCGAGGTCGCTTTTATACGGACCGTCTCCCTAGACAAAAGAAAATTAGCGAAATGTAAATAGTGTGTGGAGAGGATGTCCATCGAAACAAGACACTGTATGGGAAGAGGGGAGACTTAGAGAGAAAACAGATGATGACGTGACAGAAAAAGCTCGAATGACCAATCATCAAAATGAGAATGGTATGTAGTCAAAACAATGTTACTAAATCAATATTCGGAAGATTGAAAATTATTTTAAAAAACAATTTGGCGGCAATGGGGTGTCACTTTCATCGAGAGGTCGGATAAAGCTAAACTTCGTTTCCAATAACAATTTGTGAACAAATATATAAGCAATTTATACAAGAAGTTTCAGTACATCATGAATCCGATAAAACAGTTGGAATGAACATTTGGTTCTTCGGTGTAGGAAAACAAGATGGGATGCAACAAGCTGGAATAGGAAAACAAGTTGGAATGCAAAAAGTAAGACGAAGCTAGAATAACAGGATAAACGTGGGCTGTAAAGTCACAGGACATAATTATTTCAGAACAAAATTGTTACGAGATAAAACTTGAGAAGTCTGCACATAGAACGTACGGTACATATATGAATACACTTTTCACATGATTTGAAAAAAAATCCGAACAAAGCTTATTTAAGACAAAACAGTAATAGGATTTGTGTTTCAGGGAGAAATTAGGAGATTCGAAAAAATAGAAGAGGTTCGAAGAAATTTGAATGTTCCTGATTGTTCTGTGGATAGGTGAATCTTTCATTAGATATGGTGAACATGCGAAACTGCTGAAGTACACGTTACACTGTAGCCGGAGAAGTAGAGAACTGTAAATTTGATTTTACGTTATTAGTTATTTTTGATGAACCTACTTTTTTATAAAGTTTCACGGTATTCAAATAGTTCCTGGTGGAAAGCCACTGATATTGTTCTGATACTGATTGGTCATGAAGTAATTATGCGGAACAAATGTATATGGGCTCCAAGATGATACATCCAGTGGCATGAATCCGACAACAAATCTGTAGAACGGTGAAATTTAATTGTTTTTCAAAAAAAACAATTCTGTACTCACGCGGTGTTAGGAAGAAATTGGGAAAACGCTTCATTATTGTTATCAGTAATCGTTCCGAATCGCCCTTGTCTGGTAAATTAATATTTTTTTTCTTCTTTCCTGTGTTCTTTGAAAAGTTCTTATATTTTATTTGGAAAATATTTGACTGCCAGAAACAATCCATTTAATAACAGTAAAGTCTCTAATAGAATTGTTCCTTGACTGTCAATTTTGTGTCATTTCTCTGAGTGGATGAGAAAAATATCGGAAAATGGTCAACTGACAAAATGTTGATTACGATAATATTTCGCAGATGCACAATTTTCTGTTTTTTTTTTCACAGACACTGAACAATAAGCGATCAATGAATTTACGATAGTCTAGATTGAAAACTTTTTGAGACCCTTTCTTTTTAGGGACTCTTAAAAGTTTAAATTATCCTTGGAAACAAGCAAAAATAACTCACGGCATGGAAGGGTAATTGTTTGGAAGGTAACTCTGAACTGCCCCAGTATTTGTATATTGGATATTGCCTAAGGATGCAAACCTGAAAAAATGTACATTTTCAAAGTCAGCAGGACATTGAAATTTGCTAAAAATAATTAGTTAAACTCACTGTTTGGTAAGTTCCAAAGGCACCTTTGTTTTATGCTTGAGAAGCATTTTCAGCTTGCTATCCAACTCCACATTAACATCTTTCAAACGTTCATTGAATGCTTGTTCAAAGTTCTTAACCAATCTTGAAACTGGTGTTGCCAGGTTGTGCTCGTCTTTGAATTTTTCACAGAATTTGTTCACGCTGAATACGTCTAAAGATTCGTTCATTGCAATTTTCATGAACTCGTCCATTATGATTTTATCCCATGACTTGCTCCATTGAGTTGTTCTAACTGAGGTTGCTTTCGTGTTGAAAATTCTTCCAATTGGGCGCCTGTTATTCAACACTCTGAAAAAATATTAACAAAAGGTTCGTGAAATTTTTCATTTTTGATCAGTTTTAATGTGCAACACAGTACTGTTGAATGAGATAAAATGTATTTTTCAGTTCATTTTTGGCTCTTTTAACCATTTTCATAAGTTCGGAGCTCGGCTGCCTAGTTTTCCGACACTTGTCGATTTTCGAAAAAAAACCTGCTTTTCTCACGTTTTCAGTACAGGAACGGGCCAAAAAGTGATCTCTTTCAGAAATCGGGAAATTATCGAAAATTTACAGTGATTGAAAACTTAACAGCTCTGGAGTCCTAAAAAGCCGAAAATCAAAGTAAAATAACATGAATAGGCAGGAAGTATTTCTCTCAATTGAATGTTCTTTTCCATTAGAACTTTAGATCATACTTGCGACGGGCCGAGCCGGGCCTGGCCGGGCCGCCCTTTTTTCAGAATTTTCAGGGCCCGTCTTGGCCCGGGTTTTCAGAAAAAAGTTTCCTGTCTTTAAAAACATTTTTTGGGTCAACAGAAAAAAATGAACGATTTTTCTGTCAAGTAAAAATTTTTCGAAGATAAGAATGTTTTTAAAAATAGTTTTTTTCACAAAAAAATTAGAACAAATTCCTGAAATTTCAAATTTTTTCCAATTTGAAGAAGCCGGGCCAGCCGGGCCGGGCCGGGCCGAGGAGTCACGGGACTGGGCCGGGCCGGGCTTTGCAAGTATGCTTTAGATAAACAATTCACTTCTGAACTGTATGCTTTACTGGTGAAACTGAAACTAAATACATGCCGAACTCACTCTTCCTGATATCTCTTTGTCATTTTCCAAGATTTTGTTGCTTTCTGCATTTTCATTTTCTCTTTTTCGGGCACATTAGGATCTCTCAAGCGTTTCTTGAATACACGCTTAAAACACAGGATCACAGTGTTTAACGATATGCCAACTTCGTGTTTCTTGAGAAATGCTTCAGCAATTATTTTAAAGCCGAGACGTTTGGTTCTTATGCAATTGAAAAACTCGTTCATGATGAGATTGTCCCATTCACTGGACCATTGCGTGAAGCTTTTTCGAGTTGATCCGGTAAATGCCTCCTGAGACACTGTAGCTTCTTCAGAATCGCTATTGCCAGAATTTGGCAAGTGATCTAGTTCAGTGGATGCATCCCATTCCCCTACGATGTTGTCATCTTCGTTATGTTTTTCAGGCAATGCCACTTGCCGGTTTTCAGAATTGGTTTCTTTTTTGATTGGCATCCCAGGGATTTGTGTTGAAAGAAGTCCAATAAATGATGGAAGAGCCGGATTACTCTGAGTTTGATATCCATTCTTGACCATTCCATTACAAATCTTTTGTTCCAGCCTTTTGTCAAACGCTCCTTGTTTCACTGTATTCTCAGGAATCGTGAATGAATACGAATCATCAATCACTTCCTTTTTGATCAAGGACTGTAGAAGCGGTGATGGCGAGTGTTCATGGTTTGGGTCGGTTTTGATGGTACGATACATTTCCTGTAATGAACAATATAATTTTGAAAGAATGTATAAAAGAAAACATTAATTGCGCCCTCGAAAAAACCACAAAGCCAGAAGATAAAAACTAAGACCAAAAAATACTTATTTTTTCAAAATCATAACTGTGGTTTGATTTCAATCCGTGCTGCGGCCAAAATTTGAGTGTGGACGGAGCTTACGTCCGGTTGCAAAATTCTCAGAGGCTCATTTAAAAAATGTATTTGATTTTCTGACCCATTGTTTTCGTTTTTTCGACAAGTATATGATGATTGAATAGTTTGTTCCCTAAAAACCATCACTAATAGAATCAAACATACCATTACGAGGTTGTCTCTCTGAGCATCTTCTTCACGCGATGCGAGTTGCAAATTTTCGGAGATGGAGTCTTGTTTGATTGTCAGCCCCGAAACTTGTGTTGGGAAGAATGCATTGCATGACGGCGTAACCAGGTTACTCTGATTTTGATACTGCATATAAACGTTTCCAGTTAAGATGTGCTCTTCAGGCTGTGCGGTGTCAAACATAAACGACCGAAGCGGCGTTCGGAAGAATTCATTATTGCATATTTCATCGCACGTTTCCGATTCCAGTGTTTTGTCGATCCGGTTTTGTTTCACTGTATTTTCAGGAATCGAAAATAAGTACGAGTTATCTATCAACTCCTCTTTGATCAAGGTCTGTCGAAGCGGCGGCAGCGAGTATTCATGGTTTGGGTCAGTTTCGATAGTACGATACATTTCCTGTAATAATTTTTTGTGATTTCAAAAAGTTTTATTTAAATGATATAAAGAGACGTTGGACTCCTTTAATGGTCTGTTATGCTTCAAGAAATTGTTTCTATTTCAAAAATTACTTAAGTTTCATGTCTCTTTTAGAAATGTGGCTTACATGTTAGCCGCGGAAATCCGACTGATAAAAGTAAATTTTAACTAAACAAGAAAAATCAGTGAGAAAGGGCAAGGATGCGGTACGCTAGTTTAGTTTGAGTGCAAAAAATGCAACAATTTGGAAAAAATAAAATGAGAAGAAGAAGAGTTTAAGATGGAGTTTTTAGGTAAAAGCAGACAGCTGCAGACTTTTTTTATATCTTTTAATCGAAAATTCTTTTGAACGATAACATAATCTTGCCATTAAAAAAGGTCGCTTCGAGACACCCAGCTCTCTTTTATGACAATTACCGCATCGTATAAACTCCAAACGTCTGGCGAGAAAATGATATATGCGCAAACTCTCTTTGATTATCTCAGTTGATTTTATGACACCCCTTGATTTATGATGAGCGCAGGATCCCGGCAAATTGTTTATGACATGAGCGTCGGGAAGATGTTAAGAGAGGCTCGTTTTCGGGTGTCAGATCTTTCAGATAGTAACCTGATATGCGCGAGCCATCTGGAACGGCACAAATAGTGAACCTATAGAATTGAGAATCGAAACTATCGAAAACATGCTCAAACTTGGTGAAACTTACATGAAACTTCGCATAATGCCTTTTGGTCCTATAGATGTGCTTCGTAGTATAAATCTACAAAAACTTTCAAAAAGTTTTGAAAAAAAAAATTTCAGGTGATTTTCTAAAAAGGTCCCGTTCTTGCCAAAATAACTGAATGATTGAAAAGTTTGGGTCCTGAAAACCGTTTCTAATAGAATAAAACATACCTCTACGACGTTGTCTTCTTGCACATCTTCTTCGCGCGTTGTGAGTTGCAAATTTTCAGAGATGAATTCTTGCTTGGTTGTCAGCTCCGGAACTTGTGTTGGATACCATCCATTGAACGACGGCGTAACCAGATTACCCTGGGTTTGATACTGCATATAGCCATTTCCAGTTGAAAAGTTCTCTTCCATTTGTGCAGTTTCGGACATCAACGACCGAATCGGCTCTCGAAAGGAGTCATTCTTGACCATTCCACTATAAATCTCCGATAGCCATTCGTCAATCACTTCTTGTTCCACTGTATTCTCGGGAATCGACAATGAATACGAATTATCAATCAATTCCTCTTTAATCAAAAACTGTCGAATTGGCGGCGGCGAGTATCCATGGTTTGGTTCGGTTTTGATGGTATGATGCATTTCCTGTAAATAATGATGAATTTCCAAAAAATGCGAAGAAGAAAATAAAACATTGGAAAAACAAAAATGTGAAGATAGTAAAAATTAGTCATCTCGAAAGAATCTGGAGAGATGAAGAAAGAGCGAGAGAGGGGAATTGTAACCAAAGAAAGGAGGGAAAATGGTGAATTTGAGTGTTGCACAGTGCTAGGTTACGTTGCGTCAGAGTGCTGCCGTCCCCTCGAATCTTAAGCACACTAATGTAAAAATGTATTGATTTTAACTTCAGATGTATTGATTCTAAGAGTGTGTCTCTCTTCGAGTCAAAATAACCACAGAATCGACTAAATCTTCGAAGAAAAAAGTAACATTGGCAAAATCAGTAGAAATGGGAAACGAGGGTGTGCACGTGAAATATAAAGTGTTTTATAATTCAAAGATCTATCAAAGAATTTTTCTCGAAATAAATTTGAGGAAACAATTTCCCCACGGCATACAGTGCATTCGTTCGATTTAATGATGCAAATGAAATGATTTTATTTTCGTTGTATTATATTATCGTTGTTCGAAAAAATTAGAGTTAGAGAGTATTTTTTGCAGTCTGAATACGGTAGGTACCTCGAAGCGACAGGCTTAAATAGCACATATTCGTTGGAGCAGCAGAGAATTTTTTCTATTAACTGTCTGCGTCTAAACTCCAATTTTTCGGAAAACAATAATAGCATACTCATGAGTCATTTTTACTGCGATTTCATCACATGCATATCCTCATTGAAAACTAAAACAGCTGAAAAGTGGAAAAACTGTTTCGTTAACACTCTTTGGGAATGACAAGTGCCAGATATTGGAAAAAAAGATGATAAAAATTTTAACGAAAATCCAAACTTTTTTGGCATATACCACAAAATCTAGAAGTCTGAAATGTTTTCGATTGAAAACGCAAGTTTTTGAAATCATACTCGCATGTTATAGTCAGAAAAAGGCATTCAAATCATGTCTGGACAAAGGTCTCTAACACTTTCTCATGCCACAAATGCCCCTACTTTGGTCACCGGTGCCATGGCAACGCGACAGTCGTATCGTGCGTTACCTACAAGCTAGGGACCCGCATGATGTGTTCCAAGGGCGCTAAAATTCTCCGAGATTTGTTATGTAAAAGCGCACAAATCAATGATTTCAACATAATCTTCGTGCGCAAAAAAGAAAGCATAGGAAAATATTGAGTATCATTTGAAAAGGCTTGTTTTGTCGAATTAAAAAAAGTAAGACCTGAAAATTTGAAAGGCGTAGCTTTTTTTGATCTACGAAAAAGTGCGGTAAAAACGTAATATTTCAGATTTTCGCCTCATTCGAGCTACTTTCGCAATTAAGTCCGGTTTTTTGATGAAAAACAGATTTTAGAGATGCTAGCGATCATTTTCCTACCAAGAAATATAAATTTTCTTCAGAAAATCCCACTAAACTCACAGACATAAGTTTAGTTTACTACCGTAGTGTTTCTGGGGCAAGGCCTCAAAAATTGACCGGGAAGCCGGCCGCGAAATTTTCCAGGTCCCACTTTTTTATATTCGACAATATGAAGGTAGAGAGATTCTGAAAGTTTAGCTCTGATCCCGAACCGAAAACAAGAAGAAGAACAGAACAGCAATACAAAGAGCAGTTTTACATTACGAAAAACGCATATCTTTTAGAAAAAATTAGGAACAAGCACTACGCCAGTTATTGAGAGTCCGCCCCCTTCTTCCCTTAAAGACCGTAGCGATCGCGCACCCCCATTTTCGACATTTTGTAGAAATTTTCTTTGCAAGCTTCTAACTACGTTAATTTCAGTCCGTTTTGGCTCAATCTCCTTTGGTCGATAGCAATCTTTCTGGCTACGCGGTCACCAATCACCAATCGTCAAAAGTTGTACCGTTTGAACCGATATATGATAACGAACGTACAAGTGGAATCGATTTTTTCCGCGTTTCCGTTTTTTTTCTGCTGAACTAGAGCCTAAATCAAAAATCCAGCTTTTTCATTTGATGCGTAATTTTGATAGCTACAATTAAAAAAAGAAAACTGGATTTGCTCGAAAATTAAAAGAGTTAATAGGTTTTGAGTGAAAAATTAATGAATTGTGGTGGGGCACATGTTACAGGGCCGTAGGCCCTGTCCGGTCTGTTTGACATGAGCGAGCGGAGCGAGCAAAGGGAGAACAGACTAAACCTTGTATCAACTGATTCCACTGAGCCAGGGCCGGAGGCCCTGCATCTGATTCCACCTAATTGCGCGGCATAGCCGCGCCTAGCGGAGTCGGCCGTAGGCCGAGGACTCTAGTCCAACCACATTGTAATAAAACAACGAATAATGGAACGCGAAAAATGATCATTAGGCATTGCTGTGCTACAGCTGTTTGATGTCCTCAACCACTCCTTGTGTTCAACCAATTCTATGCAAATGTATGAACTTCAGAGATACTGCAAAACCTTTCGCATGAAAAAATTACCAAAAACGATGGCCAGCTTCGTTCTACTCAGAAATTTTCGCAACGACGGAAATTGGAATTCGGAGTACGAAGCTGGGACGAAATCTTTCTGGAAACCCTGCACGCGGAATTCGGAGCGAATTCTTTTTTCGAATTCGGAATACGGAGCCAATCAGTTCATAAGATAAAGAAGAGGACCCCGAAAGGGACTAACGGACAGTGTTTGAACTATAATATTGCATGTGTACCGGAAAAAAACAGAAAGAGAAGTTACTTGTTCATTAGAGAGGGACTGAAATGCGAAAAAGAGAAAAAGAGTGAGGAAGTATTACGGGGCCACGTGATTGGAATAAATTGAGAGAGAAAATATGACAGGCAAAAATGAGAAGCTTACAAACTGGTAGTTACCGTAAAGCCTGTGAGGAAAGATCTTTCAAATTGTCAACTGTGAGCAATGTTTTCGATTTTTTGCAGAATGAATCAAAAAGTGGTCAACTGTCAAAATATTAGTCATCATCAACTATATTTCGTCCATTGAACAATTATTAGCAAAAAGAAAACAAATGGAACAAAAAATTCGGGGATATTTGAGATGAAAAAAAATGGGCCTAAATTGTCACAGGCGATAGCAAAGAGGAGAGAGAGTGATAGTGGTTAGATAAACATTTTCTATGTTTCCACTAATTTTTGGGAAGTATTAGTGAAAGAAAAGTAGAGGGAAAAATATCTGAGAACGACATTACATTTTTTCGATCTTTACGTGTTCAATATGTATTTTTTTTCGTTCTCAGCTGTTGATTTACTCGTAAGTCTTCCATATCGCTGAGTTGAAATTGGAATCCATAGACGGGGTAAAATCAGTTGTGTTGCCAATCAGAAAGCCTGGTGGTGTGAATCCGCAACGAGTTTCAATGTCATTTTGTGTTCCAGGTGTGTAACATGCTTGGTTTAGGGCTATCGGATACTCTGGCACACTGTACTTGTCATATCTTTCGTGCTGATTTGTAAACGGCATGCCAAATTGAGTGTATCTTGAACAATACACCGTACTCATCTGATGAAATTCGCATGACTTGATCGATTCTGATGGTTCGAAAAATACAGTTCCAGTCGTTGAAGTTGTGCTTTGATTGATGAAAGTTCCAGTCGAAATGTGTTCGTAATTGAAAATTTGATTATCTACTGGCATTGTTGGGTTGGCATCTGAGTGGACGCCTTGATGAAGAATCGATTGGGTTTGTCTGTAAGCCAATTTTCTGATGATCGAGCTCGACTTATCATTTCGTTGCACCCCTTTAAAGCTGGAAAAACTCACGTTTGGACAAAAGTGGGTACCGATGGTGGATGCCAAATCGGAACACCTTGTTCATGGGAATCTTGTAGAGCTGAGATAGATCCGTTGAGCAAGTTAAAATTTGGGGTCTCAGTTGTCTTATTTTGATGGTTAGTTACAGTTGTTTGTACGCTGTAAAATAGTATAAACACGTGGTTTTTATTGGAGCAAGCGCCTCACCAAGGGATAAACTGGGCAAGCACTCCGTTATCTTTATAGGTTGCCGATCCGAGTTTTTTCAACCTGTAAAAACGAGGCATCAGTTTTTTGGAAACGGGTCTTCACAATGACAGCAGGGTTTTAAACGATTTGATTTGATTGAAAAAAAAACTATGACCCCTAGGAATAAACAACTCACTCATGGCGTAGCTTTTCTGGAACAGCTACTCTATAGGTGCCCAGCATTTGGAGTTTTGTTTCCATTTCAACTTTCTCGCTATCTAGAAGAAGAGAGAACATTGAGACAAATTTAGTTTTCATGTGGTTTTTTGCTAATTTGATGTCATGATTTTTCTTGAATTGCGTGATAAAATCTTGTCCACTGAATGTTTTACGCTTTGATTCATCTTTTACGATTTCCATAAACTCTTCTATCATTTTCTGTGTCCATTTTGGTAAAATTGGTGGATCAGTTTGAGTGCTCGATGGTGGGGTTCTCCGAGAGTGTTCAGACGGTGGGCGATGAGGAGATGGATACGATGGCGATTTTGGTTTCCTGAATAGAAACTGTTTGTATTTTTCAAAACTTATCACCTGCTTACTGTCGAAAGTGAGACGCTGGAAGTATACTATGAATTGCTCCCTTTTCTGTATATAACACATGACCGAGAGATTTAAATCTGGAAATGTAAAATTTACCTCAGAGTAATCAGCTCTCGATTAAATAAAAAATTCTCTGAGATTTAGTAACTGTTACGTTTTAGAAGTAAAATTTAACTCACTGTTCTCGAAGCTCCGGATGTACTGTTTTCTTGTATAGGAGAAGCATGCTCAACTTCGTCTCCAATTCTATTTTCTCGTCGTTCAAATCAGCAGCAAACTTCGCCTTGAACCTTTGTTTAATTGTTTTCTTTGTTGTCGACATATTATGTTTGCTTTTGAAGTTTTCAATGAACCTTATGATACTGAATGATCCTTCCCGTTTTCCTTTAGCAAGGTTCACAAACTCTTCCATGATTCTTTCATCCCAGTCTTGGTTCCAAATTGAACTCAACGAACCCCAATTCCTGACACATGTAGTAAATTTCGTGTTATTTTGCATTGAACTGGAAAACGCATTTATGCTACATGAGGCGATTAAAAACCAGTGAAACAATAATGAGGATCAGCAAAAAACAATGATTTTGATGTGAATTTTTGTAAAGTACTAAACCTTATGACTACCGGAAATGAACTTTTCCTAACATAACAAAAATATATTTTTCCACCATTAAGCCCGGGCAATAAGAAAATTATCCTTCACAAAAATCAACCCTAGTACTCACTTCGTTTCCACCGTGTTTTCTGACATTTGCCAAGAATCAACAAATTTGTTATCTTTGTCGAAATTCACAAAAGCTTTTCTTTGCAACCTGAAAATTATTTTGCATTGGAATGAGAATAATAGAAACCTACTGCTTTTGAATTTTCTTCGGCACTCTCCAGTTTTTATTTGCTGTCACCATTTCGATTTTTTCCGATTCCGACACTTCAGGATCTCGCAAGCGTTCGTAATACAATTGTTTGAAGCGCCTTCCTACAGTAGTCCACCCAACATTTGCAGGGTGTTTCTTGAGAAAACTATAAGAAAGTTTGCTTACGCTGAACTTTGATTTAATTGGCTTCTTCATGTAATTGAAAAACTCTTGCATGACCAATTTGTCCCATTGCGAATTATGACGAATAGCATCTTTGTCGATTGGAGCAGCGGTGAGTTCTTGGGGTAAGTTCAATTCGTCAGAATCACAAGTTTCAATCTGTGAACCATCATATGATCCCATATTCAGAGCTCTGCTTTCCAAGGTGTGTTCATTGAGTTCTTCAACATAAGAAAATAACTGCAGCTCTTTTTGGTGGGTGGAGTCGTATTTTCTTGAAACCTCGGGGATTTGTGATTGAAAATCTTTTTCTCTGTGTCTCATTGCTTCCGTTAACGGGTTAGTAACGGGAGTTGTCCGTTCTGTATAATGTTTTTCAGACCCAAGAGGCTGGAGTGACTCGTAGAATGGATCCATCTCAACTGTCGGATGGGTCTGTCGCGTTCAGTGTTTGTTCAACTTGATTTTGCCTAATTGAACTTTCAGACATGATTGGTGATGGCAAGATATGAATTGGTCCGTTTTGAATATGGCATTGATTGTCGTTCACTGAAATAACTCATAAATTGTGGAAAAGAGAAGTAACCAGAATATTGCAGACTACTACAGAAGAGTGGAAGGGAAAAAAGAGCAAAAAGGATAAAAATGCAAACGCTGGAAAAAACAATTCCGGAGTTACACGAGTTATAGAAAAGATTACAAACATTTTTGCAAGAGGCTAACTCTAGCACAGCTAACACTAGCTGATCTTATACGATTATTCTTTATGTATCAAACAAAATCAGAAAGCAGAAGAAATTCAAAAATAATGTAATCCTCCGGAGCAAGTAAAATGTTTACTCAAAAAAATATGAAAAAAAAACTGAGTCATTTCTGAATTGTATTTCCGAGAAAATCGCATGAATGAATTTGTAGCTTATCAGAGCATAACAATTTTGAAAAAATAAAGAAAAAGGTGACAATTTGATTCAGAGTAGGTGTCATGATCAGAAAACATCAAACAAAAGGAAACAAACAAGGGAGAAATTTCTTTTATAAAAATTGTTTAGGGGAAAAATTAGGCTATGTTACTTTTCATTCTTAACAATAATTGAGGGGGAAAGACCTAAATTCGGAGAATAAAACCGAAAAATGACTCAACCATATTATTATGTGAACTTCTGATGGATATTAGAACATTTGTGCCCTGTAGTTGATCACCACTATAAAGAATGAGAAATAACGGAAAAAGGCAAGATAATACCAGAAAATAATACTTTCAACATGAACATCTCTGATGTGAAACAATAGATGTTGCGCAATGTCTGAACTGCAAAATGTCTAGATGCGAAAACACTAAGCTGCTAAATGTCTGACTATGAAAATTTCTGGAGCTGAGGATGAAAACAAATTTTTCTGTAACAGTTGGTCCTTTCTAATTAAGACGCATTCTCTGTAGAACTCAACTTCACGTCTATTATCCACTGTGCAGAAAAATGCAAACAAGTTTTTTCTGGCTGATTTTTCATACATTTTATGTTTATAGACTTCTAAGGTATATGAGATATAGTTTGTCTCGACTTGTCAATTTTCTTTATTCCTATTTTATTCTTTCCGTTTTTTTTCATTTTTCCTTCATGTCCTTTCCAATTTTTTTTCAAGAGTTAATGTTGTCATGGAGCCTCCATCCAAAAAGATGTAGTCGGCTCACATCCCGGCTTTTTTTCAGAAAGGAAACGTGGAAAAAGGTTCGTACCTGCCCATTTCCTATCTCCTCTGTTTCCGCTTTTTAATCAAGGGTGTCACTGCCAGGCACCAGCGGTATCAAATCCCACCTTTTCGTAGTCCAGTAGTTTTTTTGTGTAGTTCATCCTTTTGGTTAAGCGGAGAGTAAGCTTTGACTACCTCCCTTTTTCTTTCTACCGGAAAGTTTTCAAATGGGACGTCCTCAGGTGAGTTAAGAAAGAAAGCTCCTTTAAATTTTCAAGGTTCAGAAAAGTCCAATCACATTCGGGAACGATTTGAAATGTGGCCATTGTGGAAAATATTATGAGTCTCGTCAAAATATGAGAAGCCAATTGATTCGACATGGTCAACGAGTGTTTAAATGTGAAATCTGTTCAGAGTCGTACCACACCAAGCGCGAGGTGAGGATTTCTAATAATTCCAACAATATTACTGGTCCCTATTAGAATTTAATTATTATATATTGCCAGAAATCTGAATGTTTTTAATCAGTGAATTTCACCAACAAAGTTGAATTCCAGTTACAACGACATTCGGTTCATCACTATCAAAAGCATCGAAAATGTTTCACATGCATCGCAGTGTCCTGTGAATCAAAATTCGACAAAGTATACAAACTTCAGCTTCATTTGAAAAACGACCATAATATGTCAAAGACAAACTACATACAGTGCAAAAAATGTGATTTTCACTTTGCTTGTCCAAAAAGTTTTAACTATCACTACGTGCTTTATCATAGTGATATTAATGTGAGTAGATGATATGCTAAACATTTTATATTGAAGATGCATTTTCAGATCAACTCTGCTCATTTACCAGAGATCAAAAGAGACTCACCAGTAAAAGATGAAAATCAATCACCGAAATCAGAATCTTCAAAAGTGTCAATCTACCGTTCGCCACGTTCCGTTCCTGCAGCACGCCAGACTTACCAACCAGGAATGTTCATGCCATACCTAGCATTAATGCAAGTTCCGGTGGAGAGTTCTGCTGAACAAATCGGATATCCAAGGATTTCAGTTACAAGAAATGATGAACAATGTACACGCGGATCGGTAATCTGTAGTTGAATATGCTTCATTGTTAGAATTCGTTTCAGATTACTAGGTTCGGAATTCCCCCTACATTCAATCTGATTCCATTCATTCCATTGGTTATCCCGGACTTCCCAATTCGTCAAACACAAATCCTGCTAATTTATCTCAACTAATTTTGAATGTTTTTCTTACAGAATTGTTGAATAGTCTTCACAGATAACTACATAATCAATCAGGATATCGTTTTTCAAATCCCAGTATCTTCTTTCATTATCGCATTTTTCAATTGTTTTTTCTTTCAAAACCGTTTCCATTATTTGTTCATATATTCGCAATACGTATTAGCTACCCAAAAAATTATTTTGAGCCCACTCGATTGTATTTCTCATCCATCTATTTTGCTATATTTTTAATTTTCTATTTTTGTTCCGCTTCGAATTAATTGGTTTTTTCCAAAAAAATTAATTGTCTAATTATCATAACTTTTTCTTAAATGTTTGAAAGTTTCTTATTCATTTATATTTTTCCAGAATACAACTTTATTTCGCGGTGACAGTTTTTTTTTAGTTGAATTTTTATTCAAGGGGAACTTTGGCCAAAAATACTTGTTGCATTGAAAAAAATAGGGAAATATGTAGATTCACATAGCAACAAAGAAATAATTCAAAAAGAATCACAACACCTCGAGAAATAGATTCAATAAGCAAAACAAATCTCAGTACATTTCTGGAAACTTCATAATGTCTTCAAAACTTTTTTTTTGATTTCTCGCCAAAACTCAAAATGTTCCGTGTTTTATTCTGAATAGCTTTCTCGAGGTGTCCTAGAATTTATTTTGAGAGATAGACAAGAACTGGAATTTGCCGCTTTTTAAGGCGATTTTTGAACAAATTGCAATTTAAAACATTCTGGTTGTTCTCATTTTTCAAGAATATGCTAGTTTTTTAGGCAATGTTCCGCCATCACTTTGAACATCTCTTTGGAGAAATTAGCAATCAAGCAACAAAGCTCCGATATCCCTCTTGTAATCGCTTTCCTGGAATAATTAATTTTGTGACTGTTTATTGTTTATTTTTATATCCGGAAGCCTTGTACTTCGGTCAGTTTCTGAGTAATTCATAGTTTGAAAGAATCGCAAAGATTTTAATTCCTTCTGTTTCAACTCGTTTTCATTTAGGACAATTATCAAATTAGTAACCGACTAGACGGGTCCGCTTTGCAAGCGAGCATAATAAAATGTTCGTTGCACACTAGTTAAATGCGCTCCTGCTCGTGAAATTCGAAATTTCCTTCAGAATGAAAAGAAAATTTTACCTCGAAACTAAAAATCTTTTCACTATACGATTTTTGGTTTTAGCCTTCAGTTTGGTCCCTCTTCCAAAGTCCGTTCTACTTTTTGTAAATTTGTTTTTTTTTTTCAAATGTTCTTCCAAAGAGGATTTCACAGACAATTAGGTTATATGACAGATTTTATGGGCGATGAGGTGAGGAGAAAAGAGTAATTACGGGTTACTGGGTGGAACAATAAAAATGAGGGAAATGAGAGAGGTAAGGGGTTGACGGCTAGGGATTCTTCATTGTTCATTCTTTAAAAAAACGACTGCGGTGTTCCGGAATTCTCCTGTTGAACGTCGTAAAAATTGACTGCTTTATGTGTATCCCAACCTTTCTTATTTTCCCCAAAGGCATTTCAGCACACAATCTGTGATGTTAGATAAGGAATATACTGTTCAAACACCTTGGTTTCTCGAAATAACTCCTTATCACTTACCTTGAATCTTTCCTTCTTTGCTAATATTCGCCTTTCACCTTTCCTTTCCCTTAACTTGGAAAAAAAACTTTTGGAACCAAAAAAAATCCTCAAAACAATCTATTCCGACAATCTCCGATGCTACCGAACCCACTACATATTCTGAAGTCGACATGCAGCTATCTCTATGCTGATCTTGGTTTTCTGAACAAAGAGGTGAATTTTTTTTCAAATTTTCCCCAAATTGTGGTTCTAGAAATGTTAGTCCACCGCCAATGCCCATTCAGCCACCTATTTTTAATTTCCTGTATATTTACTGAACAAATTGAGCACTATGGCCCGATGTTCACACAATTATAAGTGTTGAAGAGAGAAAAGAGAAATCGGCTGACGTAGACATAAGAAATTTGGAAAGAAGGGTCTGTGGGAGAGAGCAATGGGGAGAGTTGTTCACACGCCGATTCGCTGATCTTGACTTTTCTCTAGAGGAAATTGCCTACAGGTTGATGAGAACACAAGTTTATGTCGGCTCTGTTGCCCAAGATGCTTCACGCGCCTTGTTTTTATGTATTATCTCGGAAGAGTGGACTTGTTGAAATCTGCCGGCACTGAGGCCGTAAAAAATTTGGCGTGAAATGTGCATGACCAGATGATCAAGTATTAGTGATCGGAAATCAGATTAGAGCTTCAAGAAATTTGAATATATTTTATCAGATTCACTATTTTGAAATGTCAAGATTTTTATCTCGGCTCTTTATCCCGCCAAAAATAAAAATTTTCTAAGAAAATTTTCAAAGTTTCCTTGACGAGTCTGTTTGTGTTGCGTAAGGTTATAGTTTCCGTTATCAGTGATTTCAAAAACATGACCTGTTTACCTGAACGTAAAGCACAGCATTTGTGTACTGGTCGGTTCTTGAGTATTTATTACTCACCGATATTTTAGTCAGGAAAATGTTGCTGTAATTTTTATTTGCAATGGAAGAAATTTCGAAAAAGGTTACTGTAGTTCTTAGAATCATTTTTCGTAGTTCGGAAATTTTTAAAAATTCATCTGCCTTTTTGTGAAATTTCTAAATGTCTGCTTGACCTGGCCAGATTTCTATGAAATTTTGCCGATCCGCCATAAAAACAAATCAGCTAATTTGCTTTCCATGTTTATTTAAATTCCAGATATTTCCTGAAAACCTACAAAAAATCACTACTGAACACCATGCACCTAAAATTTCTGAAAATTTCGAGTGTTATGCTATGAAATCGAATTTTACGAAATCTTTTCTAAAACGGCCTAGCCCTTAATCTCTTCTAGAGCGAATTTTCATCAATTGAAGGAGGCGAGACAGCAAAAAGTTTGGGACAGTTTGGGGGACGAAATCGCCCCGCGCTTATTTAGGCCATTGGTCAGCAGGCGCCTTCGCGCTCTTGTAGCTCAGCGCCGTACCCCTGAGCTGCCTGTCGTGAGTTCAACTCCTCATGAGGGGTTTCTGGACAAAATATCAGAAAAAATTCGTTTTTTTAAATGTCTGGCCTCCTTTAAAAGCAAACTTGCAACCGACCAAGTCAGGCTGAACCTTTTCTCTCGGCCTGGCCCAGGTTTCCGGTGATTTTTTCTTGTGTTTTTTTTAAATTTCAGAGTTAAAAACAAATATAAACTTTCTTCGAGAAGAAAAATCTTGCAAAACAGAGTGTCGGTGAAACAAATTTTTCATGGGAAATTTTCAAAACTTCTGAAGTTTCAGAGCTCTTTTAAATGTGGAAAACCAGGACAAACCAGGCCGGGCCAAAGTAGTCTTGTACCGGTCTCTGCCTCTGCATTAAAAAAAATATTTAGAACAATTATTATTTTCAAAATTTTGTCAGAACGTGCCAAGACACATACAGTTTCAAACTTTGCAATGTTTTTAAAGGAACCGCAAACTATTTTCAAAATACGTCTGGAAACCTTCTAAATGAAGTTGATTTTTTGATAAAGCTGACCTTCTGATACAGGTTATATGGTATTCAGAGAACCGTTGTAACTTGCTGATTAACATTTTCGAGAAATCATATCATCACCGCAAAATCGACATGCTTCGCTACACAAATTATCACACTTCATCGGCCTATCACTGCAGTAAACATAATCAAAACCTTTTCTGATCATTCACATCCTTTCGGTCCTCTTGCTATTCTCTTGAACCCCCAGCTGATGTTCCTAGAAATTTTCGCTTACCTCGAACACTTCTTGTTTTCACTTCATTTTTTTGCTTCCCCGTTCCCCTAAAATTGCATTGTAAAGCTCTTGAGATGCTACACGTGCCGCCGCCGCGTTACTTTTAACTCCTAGATCAAATGTCCTTGTTCCAGTAGTTTTTTGTTTATCAATGTTCACCTTTGTTCTTTCTGAACGATTGTGGGTGAACATTACGAGTGAAGAAGATTATATCGAGTTGTTGATACCCATCAGTTCCGACAAAACGATGAGGGGATCCGACAGAGTTTACGAGGTACAGATGGATCCCCTCGTTTGACTGGCAATTAGGCCCTATCTCTATTGTCTTTTCACCCCGGATTGCCTCCACAAATCACATTCGTACTATTCCAGGTATAACTTTAACGTATAACTGATGACTTTTATCCAGAGGTTTTGTACCTTGTTCTGACCACAATGTGGTGATATGTTTGTTAAGCAAATATTTTACAAGTTAGAAATAGATATATATTGGACACAAGTGGATTTGTAAGTGATAGGACTTTGGTGGTGTTTCTCCCCTTTTTTGTTTGAATGATCTTCTTCTTCTTAAGCAAGACAATAGCGTTTGTGTAAATACGAGTTTTTGTAGCTTATCACTGATACCTGTACTCCCTGAAAAACGAAACCTAGAATGAAAAAGAAATCCGTTTTTCTTAAGAGAGGCACTTGAAAAAACTGTGAAAAGTTATTTTCATAAATTGAGATGGACGCTCGAAAAAAGAAATTGAACATTTTTGGCCAATTACCTCATCCCGCGTCATTGTCAAAAGGGTTTTCTTTGCACTCGCGCGGCTATCCTTTGATTTTTTTTTGTCCTCATTCTTTTCAACTTGAACAGTCTTCTTTTGTTTTTTCTCTCCCTCGCAGTTACTTACAAAGATTCCCGAAATGACTCAAAAACTTCAAAAAAAGTCTAGTCTATTGTTTAGGTTCAAATCTTTCTATTTCTTGTACCGGCATCTTTTTATTGCGGACCAAACAGCCTATTTTGTCTCTGGAGAGCCTGTGAACTTTGCATATATAGCACCAATTGCACATCAATTATCTGCTCTCTGAATGCTAAATATTACGAGGACTCAATTTTGCCCTCATGGCTTTTCCCACTCATCTTCTCCCTCACTTTTTAATTGCCTTTTTACGTTTTTCCTCCTCGTTTCCCTATTCTTTATTCCTTCAACTTTGATCCTCCACCC